GCTCATACCACAAATATATGTACACGCACTCGATATTTATTAATGTTCTCTCGTTAAATATATGTCTTCATAGATGCATGACTTTCTATTTCTTCTAGTTTTAAGAGACTCCCTTTATTAGATATAAATGAGGATATATTTTTTTTTTTTATGTACGAGCTAATTGCTACAACAATTATTAAGATACTCTAACCGAAGTATTTATAATTGAAAAAGCTAGAGAAATGCAGTTTAATTAAACAAGGTATAGTGTATAGATGTAAGTGAGGCATTTCTCATTCGTTATTTTTAGCAAAGTTTGATGTGCGCTTTTATCGCGCATGTCTTGATAAATTGCTAATTATTTCGAGATATATCGATATTATGAAGACAGCGTAATGTAAAGACGTAATGCTAGAGTAAGACTTTCAAGACAATCGAAATTTCCTGAACAAATGCTTTTTATCTTCATGGTAGGTTACATACATCCAGTTTGTCATACGCATACGCGTTTAGTACATAAGTTTTTACATAAATTCTTTCAATTAACGATTAAAAGACATTCATTTATACTCTTTTACAACATATAATTTTATAAAGCGTTTCATGAAAATATACAATTTTTTTTATTATTAATTTCTCATCGATTTTTGTTTGTTGGAAAAAATCTATTCCACTCAATGCCAATTATAAAATGCTAAAATACATATTCCAAGTATCTTTACACCTTTCTTTTTTCTCTCTAAGAATTTCAGATTATTTTACGAGAAACTTTAAATAATTAATGATTTGCCTAATACGGCAAATACAAGAGTGCATATTTTTACTTTGTAAGAGAGCGTAATAAACTTGCAGTACGTAACATTTGTCAGGAGGAAAGTTGCATTTAAATAAAAGTGCATAGATAACGAGGAAAACCTCGACAGATTTACAATAAGGATATATGAAATTGCAAATATTTTCCCTATTATCTGCCATTACCGAGATTATACATTTCGTTCGTATCGTTCGCCCGTATGTGTAATTACCGTATAAAGTCTGCCATATTTCAGGATAAAATCCCGTTCTCTCATAAAGATGATAAGTAAAATCAAGTTCCACATACGCACAATCAACTAAAATATCGAATAACGGTATTTAAAATGAGAACGCGGCGACAAAATAAATTCTCATTATGTACGAAAATTGAACGACCGTTTGTCATGCTGTGAGAAAAAAATTTGCTAACACGGGAGCTACTCCCACAGGCTCGAATGACAATAATAATCATAGATGCATAATATTATTACAGATTATACGCAATGTGGTGGTGTCAAGTGACTTTTTACACGTTGCAGCCAATGATACGTTGTATCATTTCAATTGAGTGTGTTGGGCGAGCCCTTAATAAAGTGCGTATGACAGTTGACAGGATGAAAGATCTATAAAACAATGGAAGAGAAGGAAGGTCTGTCTCCTTGTGTATTTATAACTTCCAAATTATGCGTGTCGTTGACCGCAAGTTTTGTTTTTTTTTTTTGTTTTTCCCACAGTCATTTCATTATACACACATATGGATACACTAATCCTCACCATTAAGCATAACGTGTAGGG